GACCGATGGTCGCTAGATCCTGACAGACGGTCCACCCACTGCTGCTACTGTTGCGCCACTGTCTCATGTTCTGGACGCCTCCTCGTGGCGACCGCTGGGTGGGAGTTGGGTTACGCCCTTCTCCCTGCTAAGACCCAGCACACCAATCTGCATGAACCAGTGAACAGACCATGTGCTTGACCCGCTGCCTTTCGAGTCTAAATTTAATCGGAGGCTTTGGCTGAGGACCCGAGTCGTTCTCCTGTAAGGTGTGGGCGCCCTGCCAGTATTCTAGTCCATCCTCTTTGGAGGTTAGGAAGTGGTCGATGGCCCTCTTCCCGTAAAACCTAACCATGGGAGACAACAGGTCTACGGGTTATAAGCTGACAGCTCGACTGGCGTAGAGCACGAGCGCCACGCATTGTCTGACGGTGGGAGGGCAACTCCGGGTGTTCAATGGTTTGCTACTGACCGCCTCAAGCCAGGCAGCCCCCGGTCAAGTTGGTGCAAAACCGTCAAAATCCACCTGCGTCTGGCAGTGGTCGCATATGTATCCTACTATGGTCGCAAAACAGATACGATTCGTTCCAGTAACTCCAAGGCTGCTTGTGACGGCTGTCAAGCAGATCCCAATCTGTCTGTGCAATCACATTCCCGAGCTGGATCTGCTCTCGACTGCCTTGTGGGTCAGGTTGTTGAGCCAAAGGCTCCCGGCGGAGTCCCTCAAGCAAATCTCCAAACCACCCACTGCCTTGTGGGTCAGGACATTGAGCCAAAGGCTTCGGGCGGAGTCCCTCAACCAAACCTTCGAAGCACAACGACCACCTCGCGTGCGATGGCCCACCAATGCACTCGTATGCCTGCGCGCAAAGCAGTCAGCAACGGATGCTGGAGCGGTCCGACCATGTGTTATCCTGATGACACGCGTGATCAATTCGAAACTCAGCTCTCCTCCGTGATACGGTCTGTGCCGAGGGTCGACCGACTATTTCTGCTGGGCGATTTCAGCGCGCGCGTTGGGCGTGGTGCAACGGTGTGGACAGATGTTGTCGGTTCGCATGGCATTGGTTCAGCGAATGCGAACGGTGACAGGCTGCCCTCACTGTGTGCCACTCACGGCCTGACGATCATAAAAACTCGCTTTGCACTGAGTGCGAGTGATATAGCAACTTGGAGGCACCCACGGAGTGATCACGCTCGACCGCTCGACTAGATCATCGCACGCCAGCGTCATATGCGTGAAGTACGCATGACACATGTACTGCGCGGAGCTGAGTGTGGCACTGATCACAAATTGGTGTAGATCAAAATGTACATATATTTTCGTAAATCTATGTATTGCACTCCCGCCGTGCATCGGCGTAAATTTATCATTCTCTCTCTCGGTACTGGGGCGAAACCTACTGAGCTGGAGAAGGCGATGGCTGCACGCCTGTGTGATGTGGAACGCATAGCCACACTGGGCGACCAGTGGCACCACATTCGCGACCAGGTGACAGCTACTGCCGAGGAGACCATCGGGCGCGCAAACTGTAAGCGGCCTGATTGGTTTGATGACAACAATGCGACGACAGGCGCATTGGTTTCGGAGAAGAATGCAGCACTCGCTACACATGTGGCAGACCCCAGTGAGTTGGGGAAGAATAGTCAATTTCGCAAATTTCGATGGCGACTGACCCGAGAGCTCCGTCGCATTAAAAATGCATGGTGGACGGAGAAGGTGAAGCAGATGGAATGTTACGCCGAACACTAGCAACACAAGGAATTATTTGACTCGTTGAAGACGGTGTATGGACCGAGATAGGAGCCGCTGAGGTCACTGATCGATGGTAACTCAAGCGCTACCTGCACACAGACTGCAGATCTGCCGGAAACACTTTGACTGTCTCTTGAACAACCGTTCAGAGATCGACTGGCCTACATTGAACTGCCTGAAGCAGCACGACGTGAAGACAAGTCTGGCGGACACGCCGACACTGGATGAGACGTAGAGACCACTTGCTCAGCTGCGAATCGAGGAATGAGGAGAAGGTACCTGCTGAGCTGAAGGATGCCCTTGTGCTACCACTGTACAAGGGCAAAGGCAGCAAGCAATATTGCACGAATTATCGTGGCATCAACTTGCTGAATTGTGTAGACAAGGTGATCACCCGAATAAGGCTCAACCGCCTCGTCAATCAGCTTGTGGAACCTAACGCGACGGAAGAGCAGTGTGGATTCCGCTCGGGTCGCAGCACTATAGATATGGTGTTTGCGGCTCGTCAGTTGCAGAAGAAGTGGAGAGAACGACACCAGCCGTTGTACATGTTGTTTGTTGATTTCACCAAGACACGGTAAACCGCGAGGCATTGTGGCTGGTGTTGGGTAAGTTTAACTGAATGTATGCACAGTGGTAGGCATCGAGGGTGCAGCTGAGTGGAGACCTCGGATGATTTTGCAGTTGTCTCTGGTGTGAAGCAATGCTGTGTCTTAGCTCCTGCACTGTTTAATATATATCTTCACTCAATGATGTCTTGTGCTTTTGATGCCGCTTGTGCTTACGGTGTTCGTGTGGAGCACCGTATTGATGGTGGGTTGCTGAACATCCGTCGTTCCGGTGCGAGAACTTTAGTCTGCTAGACAACTATCCGTATATTGCTGTTTGCTGACGGCTGTGCGTTGTTTGCACACAGTGCGGATGAGTTGCAGCACATGACTAGTGCACTGCCTTCGACAACGGCAAAATTCGGGTTCACCATCAACACAAGCAAAACTGTCTGACTCTTTCAGCCTTCACCGGAGGTGCAATCTTTGATACTGCCACGAATCAGCATTGGTGCTGAGGTATTGGAAACCACCTCCCGCTTCTGCTACCTTAGGACTGTGATGTCGACTGACCGGCAGCTACACAGTGAACTTTGTATTCGTGTCTCTAAGGCAGCGGCGGCATTCGGGAAGCTAGAGTACCGAGTGTGGAACAACCATCAGCTTACCATTGGCACGAAGCTGATAGTGTACAAATACATGGTGTTGTCCGTTCTTCTTTACGGCAGTGAAACGTGGACGATGTACCGTCGGGATGCGCGATATCTCGAGCGTTCCATCAAGTGCTTGCGACTAATTTTGCGCATAGGCTGGGTCGACAGAGTTGCTGACACGCAGGTGTTGCGACAAAGTGGAATGTATGCAGTGGACGGCATACTCTTGCTGAGACACCTGAGGTGGTTCGGTCATGTGAGCTGTATAGACTCGACGCGGATACCGAAACAACTATTATATGGTCCGCTGAGTTTAGGAAGCTAGATGTGGGTAACCGAAGCTTCGTTACTTGGAAATGAGCGAAGTGAGCCTCTCACATTCTAATCTTGATTGCAGGTCATGGGAATAGAAAGCGGTTAATCGGCGTGCATGGCGAGATCTGATCACGAAGGTAGTTGCCGAGGTGAGAGAGAAAAACCTCATGTATGCAGAGAAGAAGCGGCAAGCACCGATGAGCTGTACTCCGTTGACATCGAGCGCATGGTGCTGTAGCACATTCGGTCGCGAGTGCCTGAGTCAGGCAGGCCTAGTGAGCCATGAGCGAGGCTATTCGGGACCACTACCGAAGCGACGACCGCGTGCGTGCATGCTAAGTCTATATATTCCAGGTGGTGGGTTTTCAATTTTGTCCTAGTGCTTTTGTTTTTCATATAAATGTCTACCACATTCTCTTCTATAAACTTGCACACATTGCTTAAGCCAATCGTAGTTAATTTCGATAACATTTTCGTGTTTGTGGCATTTCCGTAAAATATACTTTTCGACCTCGTGAACTTATGCCGGATTCGTTTACAGACAACTTATTTCATATGCTCATTAATTTAAGATTTATGTCACCGTTTCCTTATGCATTACTCTTTCTCTCAAGTGACTGGCTGTTGCTTGATATCCCCGGTGTGGCTGCGCTTGATGTGCATGTTGACATGGTGCCTACCTGTCTATTACCCACTACCTTGCCCATACTGGTTCTAGGAGACAGTTGGTCGTCGCTGGAGGGGGTGGGGTGCACGGTCTTTGTGGCCGTGTTAGGAGCGAAGAGTGATTCCATCCACTCAGTGTGGAGCGGACTACGGTCCAGCCACCGCCTTGTGTGCGGTTGATTCCCCAAATACAGCGTGCTTGTGTTTGCCTGTGAAGGAGTGTGGGCCGGCTCCGTTGATGAAACGTGGTTCCCATCCGCATGCCTCCCGGTCTTATTCCTTCGGGTCTACACTGGATATGGGGTTTGTGGTTGGAGCTGTGGGTGGTGCAGCGCAAGCCATCCATGGTCCCTCTGTAGGCGCAGGCGTCCTGTGGCTTGCCACAGTGACAGGCAAATCCGAGACCGGATGCCGCCAACCATGTATGTATGTGTGCCCCATGCTGAGGCTGATGTTGCATTCTTGATGCTTCTTCACCGCAGTTGGGCTAAACCAACTTACACTTAAACTAGGTCTTTTTCAGCTGGATAAATTTCATTCCGCTTTATTTGGTTTGTTCTGCCTCCCTGAATAATGTTCTATTAACTGGCCACGTTGCTTACACTAATTGCGCTTATCTTCGGTAATTTTGTTGCGTTTGTAGCATTTTAAGTAACTTGTGGACATTTCTTACTTATCACGGATTTGTTGCTGACCAACTTACTTCATATGGTAATTTAGCGAAGAGTTATGCCACCGTATCTGTATGCATTATTGGATTTATTTTATTTCAGCTTGTCGTTTAAATTGAATGGCTGTTGTTTGATATCCCTGGTATGGTTGCGCTTGATGTGTATGTTGACATATATATATATATACCGGTGTTTTGGCATTGCATTTGAGATGTCATCCAATCGCAAGCGATATAAAAGGGAGCTCACACAAAAGTATGAGCGAGGGTCCTAACCAGGAGCGTGGAAATTGCAAACCGAACGCATAAACCATTACACTGCTTACACAGCGGATGACTGTAAGTACACTGAACTAGATCAACTTATACCTAATTATCATGCCGACTTTCGTCGAAAATTGAAAACCGGGATTGGGCGGCAAAAATTAGCTCCCAAGTTTGTAAGTAATGATCGACGATCCTAACCAGTTAACTAGGCGTGACTACAAAACTGCGTAATACCGGGAGGGGCGTAGAAAAGAAACTGCAAAGTAATGAAGGATGAGAGCAAAAAAGATAAGTGATAAGAACTGTGGTGTAAAATTTACATTTTGATCTAAGATAATGAGATATGAACTCCTCTCAGAAGGACGGAAAAAGCGCGGAGTGAACAAGTAAAACTGCAGTGAAAGGCCGAATGAATCCCGTTGGACCACTGTGGGGCACACCCAATTCACGGGGGAGAGCGACTGAGTACATTTCTGAACAAGGCAACTAATCAGTTATGAAAAAATGACCATGGAAATAGGACAAAAAAATTAATCAACGCCCACAAAAGGATAGACAACTTGCGTTTCGTATCAAAATGGCAGGTCGATGACACAATGCGAACAAAAGAGTACAATGAAGAAAACTTGCCAACACGAAGGCAACGGTCCAGAACGAATACATGTGCTACTATGTACAGCCCAATGGTAGAGGAGCGCGGTTCATGGCAAAGTATATAAAAATGAGTAACAAAGGAATTAAATTCAGAACCGAGAGCAAAATGCAGTGACACACATATGTACAATCGACTGGGGGTTCATCAGCAGCAGGAAAGATAAACTGGACTAGCTCACAGCAATGCTTTGTACACACCAAACAGATCAACAAGACCCAAGATCAGCGGCATCCTTGCCCATGGAACTAGAGGAAAGTAAATGAAGACCGTCTGAACACTCATCAGCACCACAGAAAGTACGTGATAATAGGCAGGTGGCTATTTGCATGTTGATCTCGTCTCTATCAACGGAATTAGAAACGATAGATATACGTGGGTGGTCCGTCGAAGTGGAATGAGATCCAGTAACGGGTTCGGGACCTGGTGCTGGAGTGGGCCTGCAGACTTCCTTCTGCGGATGCACAGGCGATCCTCGTTTCGCAGAAATTTGTGACTCAGCAGGATCAGTATGGTTCTGCAGCCACCGAGAGTGGAAAATCCGCCACTTTTGAACCGAGGGTGCGAGATCTACACTGTTACACTGGAAGACGATAACAAGATTGAGTAAATGATCAATAATTGTGGGTTTGCGTATCACAAGAAGCAGACTGTAAACCGATGAAGTTTGGTCGAGTTGGTACGCTCAATAACATAGAAATGAGCGATGTTTTGGTGAACTGAACCAGAGCAAACAACAGACTTGCGTTCAGAGTAATTTGCACACAGTCACAAACCCACTGACTACTAGGTCGGCGTGGACTTAAGAACGGCATACATGTACCTGTGTACTTTGGTAGTTACTTTTCTGGGACAAGATTGTCAAATAAGTAAATAAACGGGAATGTTTACCGACGGGTAGGATAGGTTCCCAACTGAGAAGCGATTGTTTGTATACTGCTGCCTATCGCAAGTATGGGTTAGATAATATTCTCAGTTCGCTGAGGTCGAGCTCAGCATCACTTTCAGTATATCTAAAAGTATGAATAATGAAATTGCGCAGTATTTTATTAGGCACCAGCAGTAGGCCGGTACGCAGTACCGACGCTTCGCTGCCGCGCAACCATCAACAGTAGCGCGTGGGGTAATGATACAGCCAGGGTCTCCTCGTCGCTTACGCAAGCTCGAATCCGCGACCTTAGATTACAAGGCAGGATTGTGATCCTTAAGGCCACGGCTGGCCAGCATCTCATCAACGAACGTCCGACTTAAAATGGACCAGTAATGCACATGGTTTGTGGAACAGTTGATAAAGAACAGACTGGATAGCCAGTTGTGTCATATTGCTCAGGCTGGATTCCAGGAGCGCAATCGTGGATTGCTGAAGGGCGAAAAAATTTTGCATGGAAAGGAAAGCTTCTGGGTGAGATAAAGAGTTCTCGCATGTCCATAGGTGCCGCGGTAGCCTATTCCATGGATGGGTGAAACTTAATAAGGAGAAGTTCAAGTGAAACGACAGCCGTACTGGCTGAGAAGACTCGCAAATGTATAATAATGTAGAGAAGTGTTAGGTCACTCTTCAGTCGTCGAAGCCAGAGTGAGTCAAGTTGGAGGTAGCGACATCGTTTCTCGTCGTTAAGTGCTGATGACCACCCCAGGATTATTGCGGTTAATGGGAGCTAGGCGTGTTCCAAATCAATGCTATGGGTTTTGTGTAGGCATGAGATCACAAAATGAAATTGAGTGGTTTTATTCGGGGTTGGAGTATCGAAATTAACCTAGTGATGTAACTTAATAATAGCAGTTTCGTTTTCGCTACTCAATGCAAGATATTTTCGGAGAAGTACGGAATGCTTAAGTAAGAGTAACAGCACAAATTTTTTAGTCAGTCATGTCGCAAAAATTCGGTGGATCCAACAGATAAGAGCATAAACTGTTCGGTTAATCTGTTAGTATGCCTCTTACTGTGGCTCGATAAGGAAACATTCCAGATTGGGGGCTTGGGCATGAAACAAGCTTTTTTCAATCATTATGTCAAACTACCCGTGGTAACAAAGCTATCAAGAAGAATTTGGTTGCTCAGCCCAAGTAGCGAGGCAGTATCACGGAAGCCAAAAGTCTAAGCAGATCTCTAACTACTTTTAATGGTGCACCATTAGACATGAAAAATAAACGATAGTGTGGCATCCACTGCACGCAAAGAAGCGGACAGAGTTGACAAGATTGCACGAATTTTCCGGTATCGATATATTCCCACTGTTTCCCAAATTAAAATCACTATACGGCATTTTTATCTCATGTATCTCCAATCCACTGTATAGCCACCGCCAACAGATATTGCGCTACTACAGGCAAGGAACTCGTTTTGTCTACTTCGGAAAAATGCCAAACCGCAGGAAACAGTTGGTACGAAATAAGCTACGATCCAGTCCCAAGGCTGGTGTGCTCCAAATGCATGAACACAAGTGACCGTCAGGGCTCATTAACCAAGAGATTTGAGGAGCCACATAATAGCCGGCATCATCATCATCGCTACACAAGAACTGAAGCTAAGTAACACATCAGCTACTGTGCCGCAATACAAAAAGTGAGATTTATGAAAAAAGGGAGATAAAAGACATCACATAATACACAATAACAACGCATCGGCTGTGAGATTGTGGCTGAAGAGAGGGAAGATAAACGAGATCGGAGGGACAAGGAAAGTCACAACACAAACGTCACTGAGGCCGGTTCATCGCTACGTCAACAAGTGTATCCAAGCAAATGTGGTCATCGTCCTTCGAACCACAGCCCGACAGTCGGAAGGCCCTAACTGATGTCAAGTCATCGCTTGGCCTACCCTCCTCTTCTCCCATCCACATCCCGGTCGCGCAAGCCACGCACGCCGTGGGAGTCTGTGTACCGGCAAGCGCAACATATGGCCTAACCATCGGAGCCTGGTGCGTGAAATAATGTTGCTGAGCGATTACAACGGACAAACTTGTCTCACACTGCTGAAGATATGAAGGGTGACGACAGTTTCCATAAGCACACATTTCGCCAGAAGTATGCGCGTACAGCGCTCTTATGATATTTACACATTTATCGGGCACACGTCTCCTAAGCAGGCAGTCCCGAAGGGCACACCGATCCACTGAATTGAAAGCACCTTTGGTGTCAGTAAATATGGGTGTTCCGACAAATGACAATGTGAAGTTGTGATCAATACATCCGGCACGGTTTTCAGCAATCAAGTATCCAGGACAAAGGGTTCCTAGCCTCTCCGTGCAAGGCTTGTGGTGCTCTCGCTCCACGTCAGCCACTTTTCACAAAGGTGGAGGTGAGCATCCATTTGCAATCACCGGATACGTTGGTGCCAGATCGGGGACCGATGTTTAAGGAGCCAAACAAATAAATGTCAGGCGTCAAGGAAGATAGACAATAGGTGGAAAGAGGTGAATAAAGTTGCAGAGAATCCGTATAACTCATATAGAGCTGACAAGGTAACCAAGCAAACACAAATTAAGCACTTAGGAATACGAGAACTAAGATTGTTAATAAACAAAGAACTAGTGTCAAGGGACTGTAAACCAATAAAAAGTCCTAAAGGCTCAATGGAGGAAGGAGCATTTACTGAAACTGCGAAATGATTGAAGTAGAAAAACCACTGTCTAAATACAAGGGCGTTAATTTTCAAATTGTTCGACATGACCACAATAAATAATATCGAGAGACAGGGTCACGGAGATAAGCGTACCCGGTGTTTGCGTCGGATGAATATTCCATAGGAACCAACGGACCAATTGATTTTATGGGTCCGGGGATTAACTCTGGAAGTCAATCGATCGGTGGACTGCATGCAGTCGCTGGAATACGTGTCCCGGAAGAGCTTCAAAATGAAAAAAACAGTGAAGTTTGTCGATGAAGCAGCGAATAAAGGGCACGTAGACACGCAAAACGAAAGCATTACTGAGTGAGGTGGTTTGTTGGCCAACCACGACTGATGCATTAAAGTTAGCTGATTGGATGAACGTCTTCACGAAATAAGATATGCAAATAAAGAGGGAAATAAATAAAAAAACTAATCAAAAAAGTGACGAAAAGCAGTAAGGTCATCAGATGGAGGAAGAGGATAAGCAACAAGAAATCGGATGCAGGAGCCAAAATGACTTTACGACTGGGTCACGATGTACAGAGTCCTCAGCCATTAGGGTAATCGGTCCTGAGGCAAAAAACGACAATTCAAAGGTTCTATGCTCATTGCTGGTACTGCGGACGCTAAGATAGTTAGGCCGGTTAACCAGCCCTGTAGTCAAAGGGACAGCAAACCCATGGCCTGCGCGATTTCGCCGAAGACTGGTAGTTCTCTTTAGCAACGATCAAACAACACGGTGTCTTCCGCATATCCCAGATCAAACGATATACTACCCAGGAGCTACCTCGTGATATTGCGTAAGGGGGCATTCAATGACAAAGTACATGATGAAGTCGAACAGAAGCGCGAAATTGTGGAGAGCTGTGATAGCATTCCGATCCTCAAAATTGGAGGCCATAGCTGATCTTGTATTACCTGAATACGAAGCAGAATAGAATTTAGGGTCTAATTAAGTTGTCTCCTAAAGTGATCATTTCAACGAACTAGAAGGGCTCTCCTTAATGTGAATTTGGACGTCAGTGTTGTCACTGATTGCATACCGACGCTAAGACCATGGAACTAATAAAGATCAGTGGAAAGACTGGGAATATAGTATGTCTATCTTGTTCACACTGTTTCCTGAACCTCTTAAGTCTACCAAGTTTCCTTCACAACCAGTCGATTCCGTCTTAGCTCACAACTGACAATCCATCTGACCGCGTTGCTGTCAGCCGAAAATCAGTAGATTCATTAACCTTTCGGATACCCGGTGTTCGGTGCACTGATGACTAGCAGGGCTTCAAGAAGATGCTCATACATCATTCATGGCAGCTGGTATGCCACTTCAATAAAGCGCGATGTCATCAGAGGCAGCAAACGAGAGTTTAACACGCAATGCGTCTTGTCTATCGGTGAGCTAGATCCCACAGTTGCCAGTTGAGAAATGATTACTGTAATCCATGCTAAAGTTCAAAAGAAATCTGAGGAGAAGCAGGAAACATTGAGTAGAGCCACGGGTTAAGAAGTGAGTAATAACGAATGGAACAATTACACTCAAAAGTGAAGCGAGTTGATTTATTAGGGTGCAGAGAAGACCAGAGAAGGCTAAAATAAACGGCTGCATTCATTGCCAAGATGCAGTAGGCCTTAGAAACAGTTACGGTATGCGGCAGTTGCAGTAACTGTTCGTCACCGTTCGTGCGTTCAGAACTGCATCGGTAAATTCTGCCCAACCAACTTCTGGGAGAAGTTCGACGACTTACTCACGCATTTACAACTCCTGTGAGTAGAAATATATCTGAGTTAGCCGCAATGCGTAGTGACGTGTTAAGTTAGCAGCAGACGTCTTTTACGGAACAAGAACTACAGTCGGCTGGGATACATGCATCAAACACGGACGATCAGCGTCTGGTACTGTCCCGTTCGATAACCTTATTTGAGGTTGCCAAACAAGATACAGGTAGTAGGAGCCCGACAAGACAGCCAAGGAGTTGAGAACGATGTAGAACACAGTAAATTTGTGATTAATATACCAACGCCTTAAGATGCGGCGAACCGATAGGGAGAGGACAGGCAACGTCTAACCTTGTGGGAGCGATGGATTCTAAATTTGAAGATGCAGTAAGCCTTAGCCCTAGGAGGGAGCTGTCCGGTGTGTGTGTGTGTGCAGTGCATCCCGTTGACCGAATCGACCTAAGGCACCAACACTGAACGCTACAAAAAGGAGGTGATTTGATAAGTACTTGGCAGCGTGAAAACGTCAGGCACTGCGGTGGCAAAGGCAAGTAGTAAAACTCAGGCAGAACTACAGCTACAATTATTCCGCCGAAAAACATAAAAGGAAGGTTAAAAATGGTTGTAGGAATCGTAGCTGAATGGTGCCTGTTTTGGATGCAGTTAAGCTGACAAACTTAGATGATGGATTGGAAAGTTGTAAAGTACGTCCAGACTTCCACAGCATTTAGTGTCTGAAGAATGAGACAAGCAAGAAACATGAAATGGAACAACACGTCTTAAGACGGAGAAAAGAATAGGCTAATAGTCCCGAAAAACAACAGTGAGTCACTGAAGGCATCATAAATCACCCATCGCAAATGAATGTCATAAAGAGCAAGTGTGCCTAAACTGACGTCGATAAAATGGTTGTTTATTGACAGCAAATTAACACATCGGCTTTAACGGCGTCGGCTCCGAGGTGTGCAGGTATCATGATTTGCAGTTTAATAAGTTAAGCGGGCGGAAGGAATGAGTCGGTTTCCTGTTTGGATAGTGGAGGAACACTACAATGGGACAAATAAGTGAAGACTGAAGAGCGACATGGCCAAGGAGTAACCGAAGCCATTATACGGATGGTATTCGTCGTAATGAATCAACCATGGTCAGGTCACTCACCTCTTTGCGCGTTAAATCGCTGTGGAACACATGACGCATGAATTCCCACACACCGTGCTCGAAATTGACGGTGGATACGGGTTCATCCGAAGTTCGGGATTCACAAGAGGAGTCCATGTCACCAGTGTGCGTTTCCGACAGGCCCAACTTTGAGGCAGATTCATCTTGAAGATTGGTTCCAGAAGAGTCACAAGCTGTTAGTGCTTGGTACAGCAACTGAAACAAATGCAACGAGGTTCCATGAGTGGGAAATTAAATGTCATTGAAAGCGAGCAAAGACGACAGATGGTAGGGAAATACTAATAAGAGAAGTCAAATCGATGCTCAGATGAATGAGTCGTCAGCTATGGTCTGCGTATCAAATTGCAATGGGTCCAGTTGCCGTAAATAGTGTCACCATAACAATGAGAGAAGACGCTTCCAGTGTATGATGCAAAAAAGCAGAAAAAGAAGCAATAAGTAGAACGCCAAGAAGTTAAAACTACGTGAAATGACGGTACGGCTATTAGCATGATAGTGAGGAACAACGAGAATAAGTCAGTTTATTGCCGGCTATCCTCAGAACAGATAGGAGAAATAGGAGAATTTGATACATTGTTAACAACCGTCCGATCAACCCTCCTATACGACTGTGAAACCTAGCCCATCATGTCGGTAGACGTTCGATCATCGTTGCCTTCGCAATTTAGCTCACATCCAGTGGGAGCATCACGTGAGCAATGAGTGTGTTCGGCATCTTGTATTCGGTGCAGGAGTAGGGAGTGAACCGCTCAGCAGCATTATCTCATGCACTAGGCTCGGATGACTGGGTAAGTATTGCGCACGCCAGCCCACCGACTCAGGCATCGTGGGTTGTTAGCGCGTCCGGGATCTGGATGGAAGAAGTGAAGGGAAGGCCAAGCGATGACTTGGTCGAGAGGAATGAAAACCCTCACCTCGAAGTTTGCGTCGGTTGGTGCAACGCGAGTACCGAGCTGGGGTCCGAAGGGCGATGGGCACGTTTAGTTAGATACGCTTACTGATATTCCCATTTCATTGTTCCCAATCAAAACCAGAAATCGAGTTGTGGGTGAAGAATTCTTTTCGGGTAAAATCCTATTAGACCCTTATGTTTACATAATGGACTAGGTGCAGAAACGCCGTAAAGAGCTAAATATGGATCACACGCAGTTTGAACAATCGATTCCATAACTTTAAGTCCCTACAGGAGACGATAGTCTAAGGGCTATGAGCTGAGCCGAAGTGATGAAAAGTATGGAGCAGGTCGGTTGTGTGACGATAAGGAAGCACAAATACTCGAGACTTCTCTGCCGCTTCTCTTGAGCAAGACAACTTACGGTGGACAATGTGCAAGTTCCAAACAGCTCACTTAATTTGTTGTGGTTCGAGCACGGTTCGCATCTTCATGGTCACAAAATAAAACAACAATTGAGAGAATTGAACGTAGACAAATCTATCGGAAGACTTGAAAATAAAGATGTAACAGACAAACAAAAGACCGACCCCGGGACGAACATGATGTAGGAGCGACCCAACATGTGAATGTGCTACGTGCACCAGAGCAATTAATCAGTGGGGTGTTCTACCAAGAAAGTCGCATTCGTCTATTTATTGATGCAGCAATAACAGCCAGCGATTATCGCAGCAACATGCATTTGAAGAGATTGAACTAATTGGTGTAGGTGTTCTAAATTCTTCCAATAGCTAACAATGGCGCAACAGTAAGTAGCTAAATGCCAACTGAGTGACTCCACTGTAGCAGTGGGTAAGCATAACACGCCTTCTAATGTCCGCAGTGTCAAACAGTGGCACTGTCCACCGACTGATACGCTGATATTCATGAACGCGCACACATGATTGGAGCTTTGAAATATCGCACACAGCTCCTGCTAATAGGCGTAGAAACCTCTCAGATAAGGAAACACGTGATACAACTGCTGAATAAATGAACCAATCTATCAAGCTGAACCGTAGTAACTGATAAAAATGGTGGTATGCTCAACTTTGCGTGAAACACATGCCGCAGAATCGGGTGGATGTATTACAGCTAGATCCGGTGTCAGGTGAGACAGATCGTCTGCGTGGGCAACCTGAGAGAACCTCTACGCCAAAAGGAGGGTAGACAATTGGGGCCGTTACTCAAGGGCATTGCGAGTATTTTGAGAAATAAGAAGGGTGGCTCTACCAAATATCACTCAAAATGACTAACTTAGGAGACAGTTTCTCGTACAGTCATACACGTGTAGTACGGGGATGTTTAAACAGAAATTTCTCTGGCAAGCCCATTCGAGATAAGCATTACTGCGAACGGGTGCCAGTAATAGAGCTAAAAACGAACTTCGGGACAAAGCAATGAACCGTAACAAACTTTTTGCGAGAATGATAATGCTTGAACGACCGGAGGGGCGTAACAGTAAGGTTGATGTAACAAGCACAATGAATTAATCGACAAAAGTTTCACTAATTTAACTCCAATGAGCTGCCAAATTAGGATGTATATGACAAATCGAGAGGTAATGACTAGTTATGTTTCTCGTGATTTCCTTTAAACATACGACGTGACTCTAAGTGTTTAATTGCGCGGTTTTCGAGTTATCACACCTGAGATTTGGGTCAAAACAATCGCGCTCACATTCCTTGCTCAAAATGATAGTGTAAATAGGCAGCGACAACAAATACGGAGTGGAAGTCACTGATTGATATTTGGAGAGGGGACTTTAAGTAAGCGATGCAAGTAGTGGTAGAAGAGGCAGAAATCGGTTACAAAGACAGTGTCTCTTTAGTTACGAGAGGAAGGACACGTCGTAGTAGCCGCGCCCACGCAAGCGACCGCCTATATGCGATGCGAGATATAAACACTTACTTCTTCAGGCTGAGTGTCTCCTGTGTCAACGAGCTCCTGGCGCCGCCGGTGGTATGCGCTGCGTGTAAGGGATCGTATGCAGCGTCGCACGGTGCGATAGAGGAAAACAGGTCGGACGCGGGAAACAACATCACGAGGAATAAAACCGAGGGTCCAAACGAGGTGGGTGGCCAAATAATCCAACCATCGCTTAGCGGGAACGTCCAAAGTGAGAGATTGTTTACCCAACGAGGGTTGACCGGAGTTGAAGTCACGATGAGACGCATTGCAAATGTGTGGCATAGAATCCGAAAGAGAACCTTCAATGTTAATTGGTGAAATCAAGCGTATTAGTAGGGCAGAGGCCTCGGTGAGCATTACGATAGCGTAGCAGTTGGGAACATTTGTGGAGGAAGAGGGACAGCCGTTGCCTTGACCACTTGAAGAGATTGCGGTGCCGGATTGGGTTGAAGAACCAATACTGTTGCCATTGTTGGAAAACGAATTAACCACGGCTAGAGCTTGTGTCCTATAGGCAGCTTCACTTCGCAAACGACAGACGCGACTGCAGAGCGGGCCGCGAACAGAGCTATAGAAAAGAGATAATATGCGCGTTAACAATGCTAAACCGTTGAAATACCAATTAATAAAGACAGAATTGAAGTGAGTGAAGTCCGCTCAGTTGTTAGTGGAAGCAAAACCCCACATCCCGTTTGACAAATTAAGCCAAGTGGAGAGAAGACAAGCTGTCATGTCAACATTTCTATTGCTCTTTTCAGTCGCAAATGCGACGCCAAGAGAACATATGACTGGTGGCATCCAGTTCAGGATTTGCCTGTCACTGCGGTCTCCATAGAACAGTCACAGGATGCCTGCGTCTACAGAGGGACCATATGTGACTTGCGATGCGTCATCCACAGCTCCATCCATACACCCCATATCCAGTGCAAACCCGAAGAAATAAGACCGGGAGGCAAGTGGAGCATATATGTACCTACATACGTGGAACATCCGGTAGCTCAAAAGTGCCTAGGTTTGGTGTAAATTATGCATACAGGATAAAGTAAAGCAAGATCAGTCTTCCAACTGGTTCAGTTTATACAAGTGGAACCACCCCAACTAGTAACAGCATGGCGGATGTCAACCTTTCCGGATTCCCGTTAGGAAGCAGCACTCTAAATGTTTATGCCGGGTCCATCTATTGACGAGTAGCCCTAGGTTGTCTGGTCACATGTGATGACGAGCTTCACTTTGTTGTTACATCAACTGCCTTAATCACTCGGGAAGTGTTCAGCCACTCGACGATCAGTACTGCGCACATAAACGTCGCTGCAATCAGAAACGGACTGGTAGATAACCTGACAGGCCAGACTGCACGAAGACATCTGGAGCTTCGTGAGAACAAATTTCAGTGCATTGCGGATCGCCAATCAGACAAGCCAGTCGAAATCACAACGGAGAGGTAATCAGGAATAAAAAAGGACGAACGGGTAGTAGTAACTAATGGCTCAGCGCTAGTTCACGCATGCCCTGTAAGGTGGTGTGCAAGCATGAATGTATGACGGGGCCACTAAATCAGCCATCGCCTTCTCATTAAAACATCATTTTCCCTCCAACAGCCACGGATTAATCAGTTCGCACCAAGTAGTTATTGAGATTTTATTCGGTTAGATTATTAACAAGGGCACTAATGCCATTCTCGGTTGTTTCGAAAAAGATACCGCGAGTGCGACGCGGTCTGGCGAGTTCGGCCATTAAATCATGAACACATTCAAAAAAAACCATCAAAAAGCGTTTTTGTAACTTGGGAAAATTTCGAATTTTAAATGACAAACTGGACCTTGACATGGGTAATGTCAATAGGATTCAAATACCAATGATTCACAGCAATAACGCTACTTGCAGATTGGGGATCGCTTATTCGAGTGTCACTTGTGCATCTAATGCCAATTTGTTATTTATACAAAGCAATGGATAATAACTTGAAACTCCATACAGAGGTTCATGAAATCTACTCCAGGAAGCACAGTTTCGATTAGTAAATAAGACGAGCAACAGAAAAGGATGCTACGCCTTATATGTACCGGGAACTTGAAAGTAAGTAAGTTGAATCCCACGACCTAACAGGAAGAACGGACTCAGTACGATGATACACCAATGGCACATGTGGCAACTACCGATAGGGATAGTTCGAGCAACTCACATGTGATGACATCCCGATGAACGTAGTTAGATGAAAACTTGAACGAGCTATCTTTCCGTACAGCAACACCGTAGACAGCAAAGCGCAGCAGCAGGGTAACGTATATCAGTGTCAAGTCAAAGTAGGTCTAATGCGACCTGCTGAGCACATTTTCAGTGAAGAACGGACTAGCTACATATTGCCCATTGCTTCCTTACAAAACAAAGAACTGTAAGCAAATATGTCGCCGCGTGAGGATGCTAGCCAAAGAGAAAAAAGACAAACAACTTCGGGGATGAATGGGGTACATGCAACCGAAATTGGTTGCAGCATGGATACAAGATGAAAGGAATGGAAGTGAACGACCAAGTCAGAAAATGGGGCGCACCGGGTGAATTACCTTGCGTGAAATGGTGGGACGGCTGTGCTCTGAGTGGAGCGATGCGGAAACGGGCTATTGCACGTCGAATCGATGGTTGTGCCAAAAGCCCACGAACGATGAAGAGCAGTTAGCCGGTGACTAAGCTCATCACCACTGGCCAGTGCATGCAGCTGTCGCACAATGTTGATTACCAACCGATCCAAGGTGAACCAAGGATAGGCGTATATGCCAAACATGTTGCGCAATCGATCCTCATATCGAGTCACATCTTCACCGCCATCCAGCAAATCTTTGACCAAACTAAGTGCTGCAGTGTAGTATTCGGAGGGATCCGCTTCACCTGCGAATACAGTAACAGAAAAAGTGTAACAATTAAGTAAGGACAGCAAGACAAGGCAAAAAGCAAAGACCGATTGGTGGGGTAATGCAAGTACACTCAATGTTCGAGATTGCAAATAGGGAGCATAGTTGGGAAAACATAGATGAGATTTTAAAATCCACAAAGCTGAAGCAACTATACCTTTTATCCGCCAATTGCATCCATAAGGCTTTTAAATTCCTACTTAAGAAAATCATGTTTCTTCATAGGTCTCTCAAGATGGTCTTAACATCATCAAGTTGCAACCAACGGGCGCAAACGACCCTAAATGGAACTGTGCGTTGAGTAACCAATCTCAAATCAGCCGATGGCATAACAGTTGAGTGCACAAAGCTGGATGCTACTGGATGCTTTGGGATTAGTCACTCAATGAACAGGACCATTTAGGGTCATTTTCGCCCGTTAGAAGCAACTTGATAGAGTTAAGGACCATCTTGAGAGATGTATGGGGGAACATGACTTCCCTGCGGAGGCATTTGAAAGTGCTATGGATGCAACAGGCTGAGAAAAGATATAGACTCAGCTCCATGTACTGCAATTGTCACTTGTCGTCCCAAACATTAAGCGGTGGGATGTTGCCAGACTGCCTGATGCTGAACAGAAGTAACAAGGCAGCGTATGTTGAATTCAGATGATCGTCGGCTGATTTGTCGTTCAGATACTAAGCGACGAGGAGCTCCATTTTTCTCATATTCCTGTCACAAAGTGTTGCCCAGATTTTTGAAGTCAGAGTTCACTGGGAACGCTACGGAATCTAAATAGTGAGTAGACCAGCGGTTCTTAAGCTTTTTGTGTCTGTTACTCCCAAAGCGGGTTCATTATAAACAATTATCCCCCGAAGAGCCTAGGTTAAAAAGCTAACTAAATGGTAACTATTCCATTGTTTGCTTTTAATCACAGAAACCGAATATTATTTTTAATTATTTTCGATCATTCAAAGAAAGAAAATACCAACTTTTGAGTAATTCTCAAATAATCAAGTGGTGATGTGCGCTAATGAGACTGTTGACATTGTTTAGTTCTAACAATTTCTGATATATTTGGTGCACTTTCGGTTCATTCAGTTCCTTGCTTTGGTGTGTGTGATCCCTGATCAAACATGAACAGATGGCAGTGGCTTCTCATCTGTTTCGACCATTCCTACCAAGTCCGTTCCGAATGACAGCTTCGTAACACCACTGTAGCACTAGGTCCTGAACACTTATCTCCCTTTTTGTCCCTTCTATCTTGTAAACATTCGCTCGCTCCTGTGCCTAGTCGGTTGACCTATGCTCCCAACCTTAGTGTTCACTCAACTCTCGGCGATCGAGAAGATAGAGGCGCCATCTAGCTACGCTGCTTTGCAGGCTTTTGTTTATAGTTTAAGTTACAAAATTTATTACCGAAAATATTCTGATTCACTGATCACTCGCCAATGATTAGTCACTGATGGCTAAACAATAGTGATTACCTAGTTAGTTACATGCTTTGATACAGATGATTTAGCAATAATTTTGTTTGGCGAAAGGTTGATGGCCCAATCCTCGTAGGCTAATGTGGGTAATTACCCACAGCGTGAGAATCACTGGAGTACATGGATCTAAACTTCTGGACTGCAAGCAATTCAGATGTGGTGAAAATAATCGAAATACAATATTGAATGAAAACGGTTGTAACCGCGACGAATAGAAGCAATGAATAAAGTGCTTGTTAATGCACATTCGAAGAAAGTTAGAAAGTGTAGTAATCGCATAGTTAGACAGTAAAGCGACTGCATAGCATCGGAGAAATATGCTTATTACAATTATTCTTAAAGATCGACACGTCGTGTATAGATAGCTGCATCACCAATCAGCACAGAATAATCACAGCTCACCCGCGAAAGGAAAGCTGCATCGAGCCATGTGTTAAAATACGGCGACGAAACGCAATTGAGCAGCGCTCGTTTGCGCAACAACACCGCTTACTCAAAGGTAGGAGTTATCAATGCAGTTCGGGACACTGATACACAGCATGTATAAACAAAGATCCAGTTTGCTACATGGAAAGTTTGCTGTGGCAACAATGTTGTTTCACCAGAACTTGTGCCGTCATCTAAGGAAACCTGATATATTTGGCACTTTCCTTTGAGTCTCCAAGTCCAAAAAAGCCTCTGTCACGTGAAAATATGCCAAAACACAATGAATATGGTTGTTGACTGAAGAGACTTAGAATGGTATAATCAAACCCCGCTTGACACAATGCTAAGGCAGGGAGTTCTCTCTAACAACATCACTAACAGCATCACTTCTCGGCTGACCCAATTTACTTTACGAAGTGGTCAGCGAATTGTGTCAAGTGGGGTCAAATAAGGTCAGCCTTCATCGACAACACAGCCTTTACCAACTGACCCCATCATGTTAACTTGCTTCCGAATAAATTCAGTCTCTCCGACTTTCGTTTCAGCTTTAAATAGCTTATGCGTACCCAGTTATTCCAGTAAACGTATTTGCCTGATGTCAGTTACGGAAGAGAGTTCTTTGCAACCGTGTTATCTCTAAGATTAGCCTCAAGTGAGTAGAAGTAATCAATTGCTGCCGGATGTTAATGCGCACATGCGTCTGAGAAACTACTTAGGTAAAGTTTCGAGTAGGACAAAAGAGTTGCAAAGCGACCCATTAAAGATGAAAATGATTAGAACTGCAGAATAAGAAACTGAGACCGATGAGAGCAGCGCTAACGGGCACTGCAGTATCTTCGACAGTACACCGTTAACAAAAGCAGACATCTAGAACTACGCTTGCGCTTGGAAAATTATCCACTGAAGAACTGCATCTGGGCGGCCAACATGGTTTAGGCTCCCGTAATGATAACAGTGAGCGGTTACTTCATTTGCGTGAAGATACTCGCTTATTTCTTGCGGGCACTAATTTCCGACACAGTATCCGCCTGAGGGTGACTTGGCGCCCACCACCCTCGAACCAGCAATGTACGCAAATCCATCAATCACATTGCGATAAGCTACCGATCGAGAGGTTGGCTTCAGAACTGTCGCTCGATTTGAAGCCCATGTGTGGACACCGACCATGCACTTGTATGTGCTGGCCTGCGGATGCAATTCAGTTGACGCCCACGACGACGTCGTGAGCGCATTGACACCAGCCAACTGGCGAAGCCCGCTGTTCTCAATGCCTATCAAAGCACGCAGACATGCGAGTTAAGTAAGCGCTCAATGGATGTAATTGAAGCTCACTGGTCTTATGTTCATCAGACCTTACTATAAGAAGGAAAATCCTCATGTGGTAAGTCTAATCGCCAATTGGACATCTGGTCTCTTCGCAGTCTCTGGAAATTATCAATGCTCGTCGGCACATTTCAGCTGAAAGTGAACGCAATGACACACAAAACTTCGGGATAGCCTAAAAAGGATCGTGAATCATAGTGGTTTCACCGTGCATCACAGAAGGAAATGGCAGTTGCCCATAATAACCATCGCAATTTGATCACCATGATCAGTGTACCTGTCAGCTAGAGGTGGAAAACATCTCAGTAATACATAAAAAGGGGCAGAAATGCAACAGGTGCAAGCTAGTTGAGATACCGGAAACGGATGGACATCGTTCCGGTAAACTATCAGCTGGCTAATATGCAGCAAAACTTACTATGCAAAATTATATAAGGCCAGATAGTGAGGTCGTAAATGGAGGGGGGCTAAGAGGGATGGGGTGGGACAAAGAAACTCACAGCACGAATGCCACTGAGTTCGGCTCCGTGCCATCTCAGTAAGTGTATCCAGCCAAACGTGTTCATCGTCTTTCGGCCCCCAACCAAAGAGCCGACAACCTCTAACCGAGGCCAGCTTCGAAATGAGGGCCTTCATTCCTCTCGACCAAGTCATGGCTTGGCCACGCCTCCTCTTGTTCCATCCACCCCCCCCCCCCCGGTGAGCAAACAACGCACGTCGCAGAAATCGGTGGGCTGCCATGCGCAACACGTGGCCCAGCCATCGGAGCCTGGTGCGTGAAGTAACGGTACTGAGCGGTTCATTTCCTTTCCCTGTGCCGCAAACAAGGCACCAAACACGCACGTTGCTTATTCAGGTGTTCCCATCAGATGTGAGCTAAATTGCGAAGGCACCGGTGGTCGAACGTAACGAGCCTCTTTATGTCCGCTGAGGGCTAGCTTTCACAACCGTACAGTAAGGTAAAACGTACCGCTATATTCTACACTCTACCCTTCAGGGCGAGAGTAATGTCGCGCCAGTGCCATAAGTGGCGAAGGTTAGCAAAAGCACCTCGAGCTTTTTCCATACGGTTCGCGATCTCATCTCCAATCCCACGGACGCTGATACAACTTCCCAGGTAGTTGAATTTTTGATGAACTTCTAGCTGATCCCCACCAAGGGTCAGCGCAGGAGGCGATCCCTGCCAATCTTGGAGGAACGCTTTGCAGTTCGACGGTGCGAAGCAAAGCCCGAAGTGACGGACAGCCAGTGATAATCTGTCCAGTGACGCTTGACACCTTTGTGAGCTGTCGCAGATTAGGGCAATGTCGTCTGCTTACTCCAAGTCAAGAAGTCGTTCTCCTGGGAGTGGCTCCACACCTACGTCATGTCCTGTAAATGCAATCGCCATGACTTCGTCAATAGCGAAGTTGAAGAGGAAAGGTGACAGCGGACATTCTTGTCTCACACCGCTGGAGATACTGAAAGGTGGCGACAGCTTGCCGTAAGCCCTCACTCTGCTTCAGCTACGCGCGTATAATGCTCGGATAATATTGACATATTTCTCGGGCACGCCTTTCCTTAGCAGACAATTCCAAAGGGCACATCGATTAAACGGATCGAAGGCACCTTTGATGTCGAGGAACACGACAACGATGGGCCGCCAATATATATGACGGTGCTCCAACAATTGACGCAAAGTGAAGATGTGGTCAATGCAGCCACGACCTCGACGAAACTCGACTTGCTCTTCACAAATCTGGCTTCCACGAGTGCCAGT